TATAGTAAATTAATTTTAATTAGGGGGGAAGGGGGGTGGAAACTAGCTGAGAAACAAACTTTTTTTCGCAAACTTTAATTTAAATTCTGCTTGCGCAGATCTTGTCTATTTAATGTCATTATAAAATCATATAATTTTGTTATGGGTCCCATGTCTAATAACTGAGATATGGGTATACACAAAATTCACCAGCCGCCACTGATATATATATATATATATATATTAGGGTGGGTCAAAAAAACCGACTATTTTTTTTTTACTTTGTACTCTGAAAAATCGGTTACTAGACACCTCTAGAGAATTCTCACCAAACAGGAGCTCTTAATTTTGATAACAAGGTCCTCCGCTTTACAATTTTTCATTTTTTCCTCAGTATTAGAAACAAAAATTTATATCTCTTCGACAACTGTTCGTTAAAAAATAAAACTTCAATGCATACTAATTTTAAGAGTTTTTGATGAATAATTCGAAAAGGTTTAATTTATTTTTTGAGTTTTACGAAAATTTATACAAATTTGAGTTTCTATGAAAAGAGAAACTATTTTTCTCGTTTTTTTTGGTCCTACATATGTTTGGTTATATTGAAAAGAAAAATAGTGCATTATTTGTAACTCAGAGTCAATGATTTATTAAATTTTGAAAAAAATAACGTTTTTGTCATAAATTTAATATGAAAAGAATTGATCTTGAAGAAAAAAAAAATGTTCTATTTGTTATTAAATAGTTTCTTTATTTAATTTTATCAACTGAAATAAAAATTTTAACATTTATAATATAATCGTACACTTTGACTGTAAAAAGTTTTCTTTATTACAATTTGGGTATTGTTTGCGATGTTCATTTATAACTTGCAATAAATATTGAAATTGCTCTTCATTTTTTGTTAAGCATTGGTTATAATCATCGACTAATGCAACACCTCTGCCGAATCATTAACAACTTTCTATTGCTTATGATTTTAAGTTATTATAAAGATAAATTTCATGAAAATATTATTAAAATAAAAAAGTCTCAAATAAATTTTCAAAAGGGAAACTTCTATAAGAGTTTTTTTTACGATATAAACTCGAATTTGTATAAATTTTCGTAAAACTCAAAAATTATAAAAAAAATTTGTAAGCGAGTTATAAAATTCATAAGCAAAACAGAAATTTCTCTTAAAATAATTAATCTTTAACCTTTGGTATCTTTTTAACGGTGAAGTTTACGAAAAAATTGTAAGAGACCTTTTTTGTAGAGCGTTCGATTTCCTACAAGAATATGAGGAGAGTTATTTTTTAACGAACAGTTGTCGAAGAGATATGAATTATTGTTTCTAATACTGAGGAAAAAATGGAAAATTGTAAAGCGGAGGACCTTGTTATCAAAATTAAGAGCTTATGTTTGGTGAGAATTCTCTAGAGTTGTCTAGTAACCGATTTTTCAGAGTACAAAGTAAAAAAAAAAATAGTCGGTTTTTTTGACCCACCCTAATATATATATATAACTTTTGTGTTATTTAACGTTGAAATTTGGTCCTTAATTGAATTGTAAGTTTTCAAAACCTTTTCCTGGGACTTCTTGGTAAATTAGAAAGAATTTAAATTAAAGTTTGCGAAAAAAGTTTGTTTCTCAGCTAGTTTCCCCTACCCCCCTAATTAAAATAATTCAAATTAAAGTGGTTTTAATTTACTATAGTTTATCGACAAATTTCAAAAATTATTTAAAAAATCCAAGTATAACAGGTTTTATACCTATATAAAAAAAATTAGTGAAAAAGAAAAAAAAACAAAATGGTATAAAATCTGCAATACCAGGATTTTTTTTATAAAATTTGAAATTTGTCGATAAACTATAGTAAATTAATTTTAATTAGGGGGGAAGGGGGGTGGAAACTAGCTGAGAAACAAACTTTTTTTCGCAAACTTTAATTTAAATTCTGCTTGCGCAGATCTTGTCTATTTAATGTCATTATAAAATCATATAATTTTGTTATGGGTCCCATGTCTAATAACTGAGATATGGGTATACACAAAATTCACCAGCCGCCACTGATATATATATATATATATATTAGGGTGGGTCAAAAAAACCGACTATTTTTTTTTTACTTTGTACTCTGAAAAATCGGTTACTAGACACCTCTAGAGAATTCTCACCAAACAGGAGCTCTTAATTTTGATAACAAGGTCCTCCGCTTTACAATTTTTCATTTTTTCCTCAGTATTAGAAACAAAAATTTATATCTCTTCGACAACTGTTCGTTAAAAAATAAAACTTCAATGCATACTAATTTTAAGAGTTTTTGATGAATAATTCGAAAAGGTTTAATTTATTTTTTGAGTTTTACGAAAATTTATACAAATTTGAGTTTCTATGAAAAGAGAAACTATTTTTCTCGTTTTTTTTGGTCCTACATATGTTTGGTTATATTGAAAAGAAAAATAGTGCATTATTTGTAACTCAGAGTCAATGATTTATTAAATTTTGAAAAAAATAACGTTTTTGTCATAAATTTAATATGAAAAGAATTGATCTTGAAGAAAAAAAAAATGTTCTATTTGTTATTAAATAGTTTCTTTATTTAATTTTATCAACTGAAATAAAAAATTTAACATTTATAATATAATCGTACACTTTGACTGTAAAAAGTTTTCTTTATTACAATTTGGGTATTGTTTGCGATGTTCATTTATAACTTGCAATAAATATTGAAATTGCTCTTCATTTTTTGTTAAGCATTGGTTATAATCATCGACTAATGCAACACCTCTGCCGAATCATTAACAACTTTCTATTGCTTATGATTTTAAGTTATTATAAAGATAAATTTCATGAAAATATTATTAAAATAAAAAAGTCTCAAATAAATTTTCAAAAGGGAAACTTCTATAAGAGTTTTTTTTACGATATAAACTCGAATTTGTATAAATTTTCGTAAAACTCAAAAATTATAAAAAAAATTTGTAAGCGAGTTATAAAATTCATAAGCAAAACAGAAATTTCTCTTAAAATAATTAATCTTTAACCTTTGGTATCTTTTTAACGGTGAAGTTTACGAAAAAATTGTAAGAGACCTTTTTTGTAGAGCGTTCGATTTCCTACAAGAATATGAGGAGAGTTATTTTTTAACGAACAGTTGTCGAAGAGATATGAATTATTGTTTCTAATACTGAGGAAAAAATGGAAAATTGTAAAGCGGAGGACCTTGTTATCAAAATTAAGAGCTTATGTTTGGTGAGAATTCTCTAGAGTTGTCTAGTAACCGATTTTTCAGAGTACAAAGTAAAAAAAAAAATAGTCGGTTTTTTTGACCCACCCTAATATATATATATAACTTTTGTGTTATTTAACGTTGAAATTTGGTCCTTAATTGAATTGTAAGTTTTCAAAACCTTTTCCTGGGACTTCTTGGTAAATTAGAAATTTGCTTTCAACAAATGTGCATTTTAAAGGTGGTTTTAAAGATATAAGGTGTTAAACATACGCGTAATTTCTTAAAAAATTGACTGTGGGCTTCATCAATCAAAAGTATTCTTGAATTTTTTTCACCTAAACATTGGTTTAAGGTGTTTTTATCACAATGTTGTCAAAAAAATTCCAAAAATAAAAAGTTGTTAAAATTGAATTTTTCCTAAAAATAAAAAAACGAAATTCTTAAGGCGGCTGCACAATTACTCGGGAACGGAAACGAAAATGAGAACGGTAACGAGAAAAAAATTAAACACAAGGAAGTTAATGTACACATGCACAACAAATTTTCGGTAACGAGAACGAGAAACATCCCGCGAACGGAAACGAGAAAGTTGGTTAAGTTTTAAGTTTCTCGTTCCCGGTAGCCAATAGGAACGCAGCATTATCGAAACCAATAGAAAATGAGTTTGATCTGTCAAATTATTTCTGACATTCGCGCTATTTGTTTTATAAAAACGTTATGTGTTAATAAATTAATGAAAATGAACGACGAATTAATTATTTTATTAGTAAAAAAGTTTCCATATCTGTACGATCGCGCGTTAAACGAGTATAAAGATTAATTATTAAAGAAAAATAGTAAGCTTTTAATAGCTGATCATCTGCAGTATGATCGTAAGTATATTTCTATTATAAATACCAAATAAATTAAATATCCCCAAAATATATTAACCTAAGAATTAAAATAATTATGTTAATTGTGAATCTTGTGAATCTTCTCGTTTTCGTTTAAGTTCCCGTTCTCGTTTTCGTTAGCGTTCCCGAGTAATTGTGCACCCGCCTTTAGAAGCTTACTCAAGATATTTATCTAAATTACGATAATAAGCTTATAATAAAGCAAATTATTAAAAATATTTTAAAGAAATTATAAATCATACAAATATATGGAATAATATATCACATGGTAATTAAAGCTGTCTTTGTTATAGTAAAGGTTCAAAACAAAAAATAGGCAAACGTATAGCAATTTGTGAGCAAAATTTATAAAAAGAATAAAAAATTATGTATATAAAAATAATTATAAATGTTACTTTTACTTGATTTTTTGTCTAAAATGTTTATTGTTTCGCAAAAGAATAAATTAGTTTACCTATCTAATACAAGGCAATATGTCAAAACGCAGAACGTTCCCAAAGGTTCTAAATTTTGGCCAATAATAGTAGTTTGGACGTTATACTGTTCACATAGACGCAAAGTATATAATCATATTTGCTGGACTTTGCAACGTTGCAAAGTTCTAGACGGATCATTACGTGGAGTAGGTACCTCAAGGTTCAATTTTGAGCCCCGTATACATCATCATATGGTTACGATCCTCTAACTTCGTGACAAGTAGGCCCTAATGATCTTCGGTACCTTGGAATGACAAGGTTCTAAGTGAAATTTTGTCATAAAATCAGTTAAATTTATGACAAAGTTATATCTTATGAATTTTAATTAATTTTCGCTTAGGATGTACCAAGTTCCGAATAAAATAAATTTCTGTTTATATTTGACTGACACTCTTTAAGGGGAATCTAAATACAAATATTATATTGTATTTGTAGTTGTCCATTACTTTAAAAGTAATCAATGGATTGTATCCAGGAGTATCCACAGTCGAACTGGATACGTTAGCTGCAGAAACCGCAGCTATGATGACAACAGATCACCCAGATTATGCTACATTGGCCGCTAGAATTGCAGTTTCAAATCTACATAAGGAGACAAAAAAACAATTTAGTGGTAAGTTAACAAAGTGTACATCTGCTACGTAGATTTTTGGTGCAAAATGTTCAGTTTTTTTTTAATTGTTTATATCTTTTAATAGTTTCAACATTCTTGGCTTTAAATTATTAATATTAAATAATTTGATATGATAACAGTTTTGCAAATAATTTAATAACAATAATTTATTCATTTGATTGTTAATCTACTATATTTATTTTAGGTCAAAATTTCTCAAATAAACAAATAAAACCGAAGTTGTAATTTTTTGTTTTTGATTCGTTATTCTTCTAAAACAAAAATCATGAAAATGTTTTAAACATTTTTTTGAAAAAGTTGAAAATAATTTAAGCTTTGAGCAGGTTTTTTAAAACAAATAATTCAAAACGGTTTGTCGAAACTTATGTAATAGATATAGATGTATATAGATGATATGTTAAAATTTGTATAAAATAGTAGAGATCAGGTATCATATTTATTATAAATTTTCATGTAGATACTATCTATCTACTAGATAGTGAAAATTGAAAACTGGTAAACAGGGGTGGACTGCGCGATGTCTGTTAAAATAAATTAATTCAAATTAAGTTTGTTTTGTTTGCCAATATAATTTGCAATTACTTATTTTATTATTTTAAAACTGCTTTCTACCCAAGGTAGAATGCAGTACCTAATTCTTTCCTATGAATACTTGAGATAACATTAATACGAATTGTAATAAAATAAAACGAGGGTTTGAAGTTCTTTGTGGTTCTTGTACATTTATATTTAAGGCAAAATCTTATTTATCATTTTAGTACCAAGACCGCAAATATTAAATATTACCATTTTTTAGTGTACGGTAATCTACGGAACGTCGTTCCGAAAGAACGTTCTTTTGGAACGTTTTTTACGCGAAACGGAAACGGAATGAACGTTTCGGCTGCGGAGCCGGTACGCCCATCTCAACATAGAACAACACCTATGTAACCAACTATTCCCGCCAACGGTTGGCCAACCTGCCGCACAACTGTTTTCCATAAAATCTTTACTTTTTCCCATAAAGCACAATCGTATGAACCTTAACAATTACAAAGTGAGTTTTTGCAAAAAGTATTTTGACTTTTAATTAATAAGGTTTTTCAACACCCGAGTGTTCAATAACTAGTTATACAATAACCTGCAAGACCACAAAAGTATTTTTACAATATACGATAATTGCCAAAACCATGTATAATATTTAACTTTTTTCTATAAAAGCTTTACTTTTTTCCCTATTTCACAATTGCTTGTTATTAAATAGTAAAACGGCGTTCCATAATTTATCGACAAATGCCTATTTCTGTTTTTATTTTGAGCGTAGTCTTATTTTGTCTAAAAAATTTAATTATATTAAACTATCGCTATACCAATTATTGATACCCAATTTTCCTTTTGATAACAACGTTAGAGTGGATGCACTTTGAGTGTCGGTGGTTGGTACCAAAGATAATACCCCCATAGATTGGAAACTCTCCCACCACTGCCCTCTAGAGCTACAATACCTAAACTATATCTATTTGTAAATTGCATACATCTGTACAAACGATATTTGCAAATGTCAATGTCAATCATAATTATTGATGACGATCATAATTTTTGAAATATTAAGAAAATTTTGCGCCTTAAAAGTGATAAAACTTGTTAATGGTTGTGAAATGTTGTTGTTGGGTGCGGAAATGTAACCAATTTGTAAGTATTGACTATCCTGCCGTCCTAAGCCAAAAAGACTCATATCGTTATTATTCTTAGCAAAAAAGACGCATTTTAACTATACATACATTTTTAAGTACTATGTAGCTCTTAAAAATTGCTAATTAAATTGAACGTATCTTAATAAGTTATAAAAAAACAATAAAGCGCCATAATTTATAAAGTAAAAATGTGGAGTTGTCTTTTTGGCTTAGCACGGCAGTATCGCTCTAGCGTAAAATACTGTTTGTGAATTATGAATTATTTAGGATTGCTTGTTTAATGGTAATTTAGTCCAGGCCAAGTGCAGGCTACTTATGGTTGTTCCAAATCCAAGTGTTCGCAAGATGGATTTTTCACGGTTGCAACCGGTTGGTTAGAACTTGCCAAAAGTCCACACTCAAAAGCCTTGTACAAATTCCTATATGTTAAGTTTAAAATCGTATAAGGAGCCTGGAGTAAATTATCAAATTTTACAATATTCTCTTATTATTGAAGACTAATATTTTTTGGTTTGCACTCCCCTAACAAAAACATATTCATGTAAACCGATTATGTATTTAATATGTTCATATGGATGTATGTATTTTATTTTATATTATATTATTACTACAATAAATAAATCTTATATTCATACTTGTTTTATTTAAAATACATCAGTAAATACAATCTAAAAAGGCACCCTTCGAAGCATCAACATTTAAATATGGCGCCAATATATGTTACAGAAATCTACTTCAATTTTTGGCATTGCTTAGGTATTGTAGACCTAGATGGCGTCAATTTACTTTAGCCTTTTGCCGATAGCTCTAGTGCAGTTTCCAATCTATGGGGTGTATTATATTTATATTATATAACTGATACTTATTCCTTTAGAAGTCAAAGATTATTTATCTTATACTAAACATTTTTCTATAACCCCCGGATATATATCTGCGACAAAAGTGCTTTCTTTTTAAGCCCCAAAAATGGTAAGGTTTTAGTAAAGAAGGGCAAAAAAGCGGTTTACTTATTTATTAACAATGACAAAATGTGTCCCTAAATTTAAAAAAACGCTATTTTGGCCGACACCAAAACCAAACACCTCGAAGAGAAATTTTTTTGAAGATGTTCCAAACAATGGCAAAAATATTTTAAACCAAAAAAAGAGAACAAAAGCCACAAACGCGGAACGAGAGGTAGGCTAAAAAGGAAATAATTAAAAAAGCTTCAAACAAAGATTAAAATAAATAAAGATAACCCAGAGAATATTTTTTCCTCAAAATAAAATATCTTTGAAAAAAGTAAAAAATTAAAAAAGCAATAAAGACATCAATTCAAAAGAGTTATTCATTAAAGAATATGTTATGAATAAAAATTCTTGAAAATAGCCACTCAAAATTTAAAATTATTATTTAAAAAAAAAATCATTTTTTAATAATTTATGAACAATTCTAACGCATTGTCTCAGTAAAATATAATTTTCTAAATAATGACTAGTTAAAAGTCAATAAAAATTGGGTAAAGTATTGGCGTTTTACCATTTAACAGCCCAATTTTTATCCAACATCATGGAGAATAATATAATAAAAATTGTTACAAAAAATAACTACATATTGCAAAGGTGTTGATGTTAAAATTTAATTCAGTAAAATATTTTTAAGGTGTACAAATATTATATTCTTTTATTTGAATCTTATTTTAACTTGCAATGTTTTCCCTATGGTAATATTAATTAAAGTATTTAAAACGATTTTAATGCTGGAATTAAAATGGTGTTTAATATAATTTTAATTTCTAGAATTTCTAGAATTAAAATTAGGTAATACCTATACTATATTGTAGTATAATTTTAATTCGTAAGTTAAAATTATCTTGAGTATAATTTTTAATGGACGTACTAAAATTATGTATACATAGTGTATTCATAGGTACATATTAATTGTATTATTATGCTTCGCTTAAAGCAAATTGCTTGTGCAATGCCCTAAATTTTTAAACTAAAATTAATCTACTATAATAATTATTATTATGTACTGAATTAGTTTAGTTAGTTGTCCATAATTGCAAGAAAAACAACCTTTTTAAATCTTTATCTGCTGGAACAGAGTGTATAAAATGTTTTGCTGTAAATACCGCCTTTTACTAATATTCACCGTTGACACATTGCCAATTAGCCAAACGAAAAGTACTAAAAAAGGAACATTTTTAAGCTGGATTTGTAGTTCTAAAGGTAGCGGTAGCGGCAGCGGTAGAGGTAGCAGTATAACTTTCTTCAATTTATAGTTTAGAAAGTAGCGGTAGCGGTACTGGCGGCGCATGCGTACTCTAATGCAGGTTGTAATTTAGTTTGTAAAATTTGACATCAAAAGGTTAGTTTTCCTGAATTATTTTGGAGTGTTTTTTATGAAAACATGGAAACCTGGGCCATATGGCGTTGTGCGGAATATTATATAATAAACCCTGCAATACAACAAATGCTGTATTGCAGGGTTTCAAGTACGTTATGGGGGTCACGTACGTCGCTATAAAACGGGGGTATTAACTCGGAAACGAGTTCTTTATATACACACAAATGACGGTGCCCATTTTTGACAATTTACCAAGTCTGGTTGCGCCTCGCATAAACGCTAAACTTAGCGAGGCTGCCAATTGAAAATTGCCGTGTGATTGGCTGGAGTAGCGGTTGAGGTAAGAAAAGATGAAAAAAGGTCATCTTTTGCCGCAACGTTCTTGCCTCTACTTCCATTATCGCTACCTCTATAAATTGTTTTATATAATATTCAATGCCGAACTCTGCTGCCGCTACCGCTACCTCTACCGCTACCTTTACTGCTGCCTCTACCGCTACCTTTAGTACTATAAATCAGCTTTAGCGTTATTTTAATTTAATTGAAATTATGTATTGTATAATTTTAATTCAATTAAAATGATGTATAGTATAATTTTAATTCAATTAAAATTATGTATAGTATAATTTTAATTCACAGATTTAAAATTATACTATACAAAATTTTAATTGAATTAAAATTATGTACACATTATTTTAGTACGCCTATTTAAAATTATACTCTACGTAATTTTAAATCACGAATTAAAATTAAACTACGTTATAATTTTAATTCTAGAAATTAAAATGATGTTACACCATTTTAATTCAAGCAATACACATTATATTCTACATCGTTTAAAACAGTTGAATTAACATTAATGTTAATTCTATAATTACTATATGAAAAACATTACTATATGAAAAACATTACAACTTAAAATAAGATTAAAACAAAAATTTCAATATTTGTGCACTCATTAAAAAATAATTCATTAAATTTAAATTGATCATTAACACCTTTGCAAAATGTAGTCATTTCATTGTTCATTATATAGTAAAACGCCTTGCCTTATTAAAGTACTCTAAATAAATGTAGAAATATAATAGTAAATATATTTTGCTTACACAAAATTTATAAATATTTTATAAACAAATTACAAAATAACATGCTTCTGGTATCTAAGTGTTTTAAATTTAAATCATTGTTAAAAAAAACAATGTTTATATGCATATTGTTTAATTCTAAAATTTATCATTAAGGCTTAATTTTTCGTTATGCATTTTTAATTCCTAATATAAAGAAATTGCTACATGAAATAGTGTGAAACATAAGTGACTTTTTGCCCAGGGTAGACAATATTGGATTCCTATATGTATAGAAATATAACGGTATATAAAGGAATAAAGAGATTAAGTTAAAGTTTTAAAGGTTATGTGAACACGTGGCGAATATATAATAATATAATATATTATATTATATATACATATTATGTATAATTTTTTCCACAAATTGATTTTCAATTGTTTATAATAGATTTTATTTATAATAAATTTGATACCTGATTGGTAATTTTTTTAATAAAATTTATATTTTTATAGAAATTTAGACGTTTTATATGTAAAGTTTGGACAAATCGTTTATGAAATAATTACCGATGTTTAAAAAAACATGCTCAAAACTTTTTGTAACTTTTTCAATTATATTTTTTTTTTCAATTTTTTTAGGGATTTTCTTGTTGAAGCACAACGTATCCAAAACTAAGAAGTTTTGCTTTTAAGCACGATTGTAAATCATTTTTTGAAACGTTGATGGGTGTTTTAAACACTAAACTAGGTATTCTTAGCGCCCTAGAAAATTGTACTGTTATTTTTCTATATAAAATCAAATATTTGACCACCATACTATAAATTTTTCATAAAAAATAAATATATTTTATTTTTAGAGGTTATTGATTTACTCTACAATATGGTAAATAAGAAGACAGAAAAAAAAACTCCCATGATTTCTGACAAACATTACAAAATTGTTATGGATAATGCAGATCGTTTAAACTCATGCATTATTTATGATCGAGATTTTTCATACAACTATTTTGGATTTAAAACATTGGAAAGGTCTTATCTATTAAAAATTAATGGCAAAATTGTAGAAAGACCACAGCATATGTTAATGAGAGTTTCAGTAGGAATACATGATGAAGATATTGATGCTGTGATCGAAACTTATAATTTATTATCGGAGAAGTTTTTTACTCATGCAAGTCCAACTCTATTTCTTGCTGCTACCCCAAGACCTCAACTTTCTTCATGTTTCCTTTTAATGATGCCTAGCGATTCAATTGAGGGCATTTTTAAATGCCTTTCTCAATGTGCTTACATTTCCAAATCAGCTGGTGGCATTGGAGTCAATGTTCATAATATAAGAGCAAAAAATTCATATATCGCGGGCACTAATGGTGTTTCTAATGGTCTGGTGCCCATGTTAAGGGTTTTTAATAATACAGCAAGATATATTGACCAAGGGGGCAACAAAAGGCCTGGTGCTTTTGCCATTTATCTTGAACCTTGGCATGCTGATGTTTTTGAGTTTTTGGACTTGAAGAAAAATACTGGCAAAGAAGAATATCGGGCCAGAGACCTGTTTTATGCTATGTGGATTCCTGATTTATTTATGAAGAGGGTGGAAAATAACTCTAATTGGTCTTTAATGTGTCCTCATCAATGTCCAGGTTTGTCAGATTGTTGGGGGGATGAATTTGAAAAATTATATGAAAAATATGAGAAAGAAGGACGGTATTCTGAACAAATTCCTGCCCAAAAACTTTGGAGGGCCATTATTGCTTCACAAGTAGAGACTGGTACACCATATATGCTATATAAAGATTCATGTAATAAGAAAAGTAATCAGCAAAATTTAGGCACCATTAAAAGTAGCAATTTATGTACAGAAATTATTGAATATACATCTCCTGAGGAAGTTGCTGTTTGTAATTTAGCTTCAATTGCTGTTAATATGTTTGTTAAACAAGACACAAAAGAATATGACTTTGAAAAACTAAAAGAAATTACTAAAGTGGTTGCTAAAAACCTTGATAAAATTATTGATGTAAATTATTATCCTATTCCTGAAGCCAAAACATCCAATATGAGACATAGACCGATAGGTATTGGTATTCAAGGAATGGCAGATGCTTTTATAATGATGAGAATGCCTTTTGATTCTGAAGAAGCAAAATTATTAAATATTCAGATTTTTGAGACAATTTACTATGGCGCCCTGGAAGCAAGCTGTGAATTGGCAGAAAAAAAAGGTGTTTACAGTACATATGAAGGATCTCCTGTCAGTAAAGGTATTTTACAATATGATATGTGGAACGTAACACCAACAAATTTATGGAATTGGGAAATCTTAAAGAAAAAAATTGGCCAATATGGAATAAGAAACTCATTATTACTTGCTCCAATGCCTACCGCTAGCACTGCCCAAATTTTAGGAAATAATGAATCAGTTGAACCATATACGTCCAATATTTACACAAGGCGAGTTTTGTCAGGGGAATTCCAAGTTGTAAATCAACATTTATTAAAAGATTTGACTGAATTAGGTCTTTGGGATGATGTAATGAAAAACCAAATTATAGCAAATAGTGGCTCAATACAAAATATTCCAGGAATACCTGATAATATAAAGGCAATTTATAAAACTGTCTGGGAAATTTCTCAAAAAGTTATACTTAATATGGCTGCCGATAGGGGTGCATTTATTGATCAAAGTCAGTCTTTAAATATTCACTTAGAAACACCTTCATATGGAGTTTTATCCTCAATGCATTTCTATGGTTGGAGAAAGGGCTTAAAAACTGGAATGTATTATTTAAGAACTAAACCTGCTGCAAAACCTATCCAGTTTACAGTAGATAAGAGTATGTTGTTAGTTTCAAGTACATCAGATTCCAAAAATATAAATGGTAAGTCTGAAAAAAATTCTGTTGGAGAAATTGACGAATTAGCTAAAGCAAAACAAGAAGAAGAAGAACGGAATATGGCATCTTTAGTTTGTTCTTTAAATAATCCAGAAAGTTGTGAAATGTGTGGAGCATAAGCTTTATATTTGCGGCTACACTAAAAACTATTTTTCATTATACTATAAAATAATTTAATTTAATTAACAACTTAAATATTTTTTAATATGAATTCATTTTAAAAAATAAACTTTACATTGTATTATAAGTGATAAATGATCCAATGCAGTTAATAATTAACCAAAATGTATACAAATTTTGATTCGAAGATACATGTACATTTACTATTAACTGTCTTTTAATAAAAATATTTTAATTACATAATCATATGATTACTTTTTTTTTCATTTATTTTTTTACTCCCACCTTTAAAACTCCCTTTATCGTACATGTTTCCATTACACTAAGTGACCTTTTAAATACACATTGACAAGTTGTGGCTTTATGGCGCTTTAGTCACGGGCTGAAGTTAGTTTTAATTTACCTAGTTGACAGTTGTCAAATGTCATACAATCGTTTAAATAAAGTGCCTTTCTTGTAAAATAATACTAAATGTGAAATATTAAATAGTTTCTCAACGCCAATATTTAAAAATTAATTTCGCCGGCAGTAAACTATAACTTAAATTCGGACACGGACTCCACTGTAAAGTGCTCATAAAACATTTTCTTTACTTACACTGAAAAACTGTCAATTTTTAAGAAATGCATTTCGATTTATAACCTTTATAATCTGTGTTTATAAAATAAAAAAAAACATTCGAACGTGACACACAGATTCCCCTATTGTTACATAACTTTTCTATAAAATATGCCAATATATAAATGGCGCACGGTCACCAGAAAACCTTTTAATTATGAATTCTTATAGGATTCCAAGAGGGTTATGTTATTAATAATAACCAAAGACCGGATTTTAGGCCCTTAAAAATTGGAAAATTAGGACACAAAAATAAGCAATAAAAACCTACATTTTAGGCCGTTTTAGGCCGAAAGTGTCTAAAATAGGCCTTAACCGCCTACAATAGGCGATATAAAATAAAAACAACACGATTAAACATAACATCCCGGACAACAATCGGAATTTCCTGGTGAAGTCATGATGATATCACAACGTGATTTTTTTATCACGCTGTGATATCATGTAGAACTCACGGTGTGATATTTGCAAAATTTTCGCATGCGTATGAACCCTGCGAACTGCGAATTTAAAACCTAGTTTGTTATTCACATTACACCTTTATAATTTATAAAACGTTGTTTGAATATCACGAATGTTGTCCGGGTTCAATTAAAAAAGATATTCCATTCCACGCGTAGCGGATGGGAAAGTTGCAAGTTTTTATTTACAAAATAATATTCTATATAGAATAATAATAATAATAATATTCTATAATAATAATAATATTCTATAATATTATTATATAATAAACCAACGTTGCTAAGAAATCTGGAAGAAATATTTGCTAGATATAATTTCTTTCACATTTCCTTCAAATCGCTACAAATTTGCACTCGCAATACTTGCTGGACACTTAAAACGGCAATTTGAGCGCAATACCGCGGAAATCATTGCCGCACATATTTCTAGATGATTGACAGATACGGTTGCAGAACTAATTTTCGGCAATTTTATAGTAATATGTTGTAAATAAATTTGTACAATTGTTTGACAGCAAGCGGAGCGCAATACGGCGAAAATTGTTGCCGCATATATTTTTAAACGGTTGGAAGAAACTATTGCAGCAAGAATTGTTGTCATTTATTTTATACATATTTTTTTGAAATAAATAATTTCTGGGATTTTTGACAGAAACTGTTGCAGCAATTGCAGTCCATATACAGGGCGTCCCAAAATTGTGGCCCAAAGGGTAAACGTAAATTTCTCTTAAAATTACAAGACAAATTTGCAAATTGTGTCCACCTTTCGAAAAAATGGAAAGACATCTCGAAATTAATTAATTGTTGTAAAATATACAGGGTGTCCCATTTAAAACAATGTTATTTTGTGAATATTTCTGAAACCCGACGTTTAATTGTTTTTCTGTTTTTAAAATTGTAATCAGAAAAATTGTGATGTAAACGACGTTTTGTGAAGTCTAAAGTGCCACATCACTGCGACGTCACGATTTCGTCATGTGACGTCACAAGACCATTTTGACAGCTGTCATTTTGAAGGCTGTCATTTTGACGGCTATAATTTTGACGGCTGTCATTTTTATGGTTGTCTTTTTGACAGCTTGCATTTTAACACCTGTCATTTTGATAAAGTGTAGACGTTGTTCAAAATAGCAACTGGTCAAATAAAAGGTTTCAAAAGACAGGTGTCAAAACGACAGTTGTCAAAATGGCAGCTGTCAAAATGTCAGGTGTCAAAATGACAGGTGCGGAAATACCAGCAGTAAAATGACTGATAATCAAATTACTGATGCCCAATTGACAGGTGCCAAAACGAAATCTGTCAAAATAACAGCTGTAAAAATAACTGGTGATAAAATGACAGGGGTTCAAATAACAGCTGTCAAAATGACAGAGGCTCAAATAAAAGATGTCAAAAAGTCCGGACAATAAATTTACATACGGTTCTTAATAAATCAAAAATTAAATTTAATTAAAAAAAAATAGAAAATGTTAAGATATTAAAATAGAACACATTATCAAATAATTTACCTATCTATTTCATTATTCAACTGAATATTAACATTTCTTTATCACTTCAACATAATTTCCCAATAAATAAACATGGACCGTTTTTGGCGGTCCACACTGTCAATGTTATACAACGGTCCGGTCCAGTCTAACCTTTTTTTGCTGGACCGGTCCAACACAAACGTTTCACAAACGGTCCGTTTACATCTTGTTTTTTATTCTAAGGTTTACATGGACCGAAATTTTGTTACGGTTCACAACCCTGTAACACATCGGAAAAGTAAATTAAACAAAAAATACGTCTTTTAATAAAAAAAAAATTTATATTTATAATTTTTGTCGCCAATTTCTACTATAGCAGTTCTAAAATAGTTTATTTGACAATAAATCGCCCAACCTGGCAACACTGCTAATTGATACAGAGGAAACCAAGGGTAACAAAACTTCAAAATTTGTTTATATTTTGAAAATTCTAATTACTTTCTTTATAATCTGTAATAATTATTTTCATATTAATTTATGTGCTGTTTATATAAATATATGTGCTGTTTGTGCATGGCCTAAACATCCCGAGTTAAGTAAGTATACTGTTTTTATGGTCAAGTGTTAATTATTGATAATTTAAAAACATCGCCTTTCGCCAACAATAGTGGGACAAGTAAAAATTAATTTTGACAATTTTAACAGTTGGGAAAATTGTCAATATGAATTGTTATCCACACGTTCGAGCTCCGAGGTCTACAACCCTTGAGAATCGGGTGTTTTTGTTGGGGTTGGTCGTAAATCGTAAACTGCGAGGTACCTATATTGTTCAGAACAATCCAGGCAACATTTTTTTTAAAGGGGCGATTTTTTTTTTAAACAGTTTAATTAAATTTTGACTTAATACAAATTTTAGTTTTGCAATTTATAATTTACCAAATTTAAATTTCAAAATTTATTTAAAAAATTTAAATATAAAATCTGTAATAGGTATTTTTTAAATAAATTTGTCAATAAACTATGGTAAATTTTAAATTGCACCACTAAAATTTGTATTATCTTTATTAGGGGGGCCAGGCTGCAGGGGAGCTGCAGCAAAAACTATCTTTTTAACATACACTTAAGTGGGACAGATGCAGGCAAGTTCAAGGTTTTATACTATTTAAATTTTATGGATTTCTTTGCGAATTTCCAAAAAAAATAATGATTTAGTAAACGCATGTAAAAGCAAAAATTAATATATCACATATCCATATGGATATTTCACCAGAGATATATCAAGATCTACACTGAACCACTCGTTGTTGATGCTCTTAAACTCTCCAGTACTCAAGCAGCTTGAGTCAAGCTTTATTATCGACTATTTCCCTCGTCTTAATTTTCACCAATAACAAACGCGCAATTTTGAATTACAAATGGTTTCTAGGTGAAAAAACTGTGTGACAGCACCTGTCAGCAGTTTATTCAAGTTTACCCGCGGCAAAACTTGACAGTTGTTGTCACCAAAAATTGCAATTTATATTTTAATTGTTAACTGTTACTCATGAAATAGTCTTGTCAAATACCATTCGGGCATTTAATTTTTCCTGTGAAAAAAATCGAAAAAACACATTGCTAAGTAATATTTTTTAACAAAATGCATTTGTGCAGGTGCAAAAATCCTCCTCTTCGACTCGCATTTTTGTTGCCACCAGCACTCATGCTTTTTGTTAAAATATTACTTAGCAACGTGTTTTTTCGATTCTTTTCGGAAAAAATAAATGCCCTTATGATATTACTTACGAAAAAAAACTTTTGCCGAATTTTGCCTATCCAAGAAAAAATAAAGCTCTACTAGAAAGGTTATTAGGCCTAGATTGTAAAAGACTTGAATATGTGATCTGTCATTTTGAAGGTTTTGACGTTTTTTTCGAAATATCATATTTAAGGCAATTTTAGTGGTTTTAATGGATTTTTTAAAATTTTTTTGTTTAATTGTTTGAACTGTGGTGCCTATAAATTGGGAGGGTAATTTTAAAATACCCTTATTAGAACAAGAAACATTTATTATTAAAAATCAAAATAGTTGAGTTTGTTTAATGTAAAAAAATATATATACAGACCCCTTTGTTTGCGACTCACCCCTGTAAAATCTTTATTTATTGTGCGATTTTAACCGGATTTGTTTTAAAGTGTAGATCTTGATAAACTGTATTTTTGGGGCAAAAAACGCCATATTTGTACAAAATGTTTTTAAGAATTCATATTAGCGATTTTTTAAAACAAAATCTAAGAACGGCACTGGATTCACCACCCCTCAAAATGACCCTTTAGAGCGAACTATTAGATATAAAAAAAAAATAAAAAATTTATTTATTAATTTTGCCTAGAGGCACTGAAATTATTACAGTAAGCTGGTGACGAAAGAAATCATTTATAAATATACATGGTTTGGAGGAAACGGCAAAAAGTTTTTATAATGCTGCCCTTTGTTCGGCCATCTATAGTATGTTAGCACGCATGTTATACATTACTCACAAAAAAATCTTTCTGTAAATTTATGAAACATTAATATGTTAAATACCTATAGCCTATAGCCTTAAAGGCGTATTCATGCTCACTTAAATTAAGAAATAAGAATAAGGAATAAGAAATAAGATCGCGATTGTTCGTTCATGCTGATAACATAAGAAATAAAAAATGTTGTCACACA